ATCTCTCCCTTGATGACGGAGTTGTGGCTCACACTAATCCTTGTTGATCTTAAAACTCTCTCTTAAGCAAATAACATCACCCTTTGAGGTTCATGAGAGTCCTGACCTATTAGTCAACACTGTTTGGCTCACCCATCTTCAAATTATCTCTCCCTTTTTAGCTTAAGTTGTGCACTTCAAGCAACCTGTTGAACAACAATCACTACAAAGCAACCTGTTTTGTTTCAAAAAATTTTGGATATCCGGAAATGTGGCTATCTGGATATTTGCGGATATCCGAATACTCGCGTATATCCGTTAAACAAAAAATAATAATTAAATCGAAATATTTAAATGCTGACTCTGGGTACCAAAGAGATTATGAGCCAAAATTTCAAAACTCTCATGGTTTATATAAAAAAAAATAATAATCAAAACACGATATTTTTTTTTTAAATATTTTAATATAATATTTAAACTAACTAATGTATAAATACATGAAATTATCCAATTTTATTCGATATAATAAAAAAAAAGTGGAAGATTAAAATTGTGAAAAATGAAATATATAGTTTTTTATTTAAGAAATAAAAGTTAAATATATTTCAATTAAACTATATATCTATTGTTACAACAAATATTTTCGTCAAATGTATTTAAAATGTCTAAAAATGTAAATATACGTCATAAATATCTTAAGCTCTTATTAGAAGTTAGAATGAACAAGTGTTCTTTCACCTTTTTGTCTAGGTTTTCTTCTTAAACAAAAGCATTATCAAGCGTATTCTTTTTTTTTTTGTTTGGACAAACCACTTTCATTAATTGAAAAGATGACAATCTTACACAGAGGGTGCAAGAGAAAGTAATGCAGATTTAGCTAAAGAATCTGCAGGCATATTTGCCGATCGAGGTACATAAAAGAAACGGATAGATAAAGAAGAGGTTCTCATCAGACACCGTAGGTCAAATAAGATGCTCTTCAACTCGTTGATCACGTCGTCAGAATTGAGTAACGTGACAATAGATTGCGAGTCAGAGAAAACATTCAGATCTCTGAGCTCAGTCGTTGAAGCTGGTGTAATCGCGGCTTTAAGTGCAAGGGTTTCAGCTACAAGTGCCGAGGAGGCGAAGCGAGCAGTTGATGATCCTTGAAACAGAGTAATACCACTCTGATTTGTAAATATCCAAGATAGACCGCAATCCCGAGTGTCGGCATTCCAAGCTGCATCAACAAAACAACTTGTGATGTTTTGGTCTGGTTTTAGGATCCGATGTTTGGACTTGGGGCAAGTCGTAGGCTTGGATTCTTATTTCTCAATATCAAGGAGTAAAAAGTGAATTTGAAGACAACTGATCACCACGATTATAATCTCTCATCAGCTACTGTTCAAAAGCGTTTCCCCCACCCAAAAACATCAATATGAATATGCATAAGCTTCATTGACCATTTATGGTTGTATTCAAGATCGATTAGTTCAACCAACGTTGATATAGATGTGCAAAATCATAATTGTTTTCATATAACTATTGAAGCATATCATATGCATAATTTGAACCCAAATTGTTTTCATGTTAATCCCAAATGTACCTATTATCTTTCTTAACATTTAATGAATTACTCTTGTTGATACGTACTGGATCAACAGTTTTTTGTCGTTACAAATTATCTTTCTTTCCGGTTTCCATCTTCTTCTTTTTTTTTTGTTGTCATCTAATGTTATATTATATTGAACGGATAAAAGCCAAAATAAGATTACATGAGCTGACGGACTAGAGAATTGTTCATAGAGCCGATTCCGGTTTCCACTTTGTTCCTTCTTTTTTCTCTTTTTCTTATATCATTATCACAAAAATTCAGAATCTCTAGCCAGCACGTTTGCGTATTATATTCGAAACGACATCATTTGATCACAACAGTAATATATAATCACAATAAAACAGAACATACTCTGTTTTTTTCTTTTTCTCTTAACAAAAACAAAACAGAGTATATTTATTTTTTTATATAATCAAAACAGAATATCTTTTGAAAGAGTAATAATAATCACAACGCCTCATGATCATATACTAGGTTTACAAATCAAGATTATCAATGTTACTATCGCTTTTTCTCAAACACTGAAAAAAGAACTCAAAAGAAAAAACAGAGGAGAAGCAAAACCCACTAGAAAGATGATCATGAGTCATGATGGCTAAATCTCAATCTTCACCACCGCAGTGAGAAAGACCACCATCTCAGGGGCGAGTGGGGTACACGCGCTTTCCGTCGCGATCACCGTCACCGTCACGGTTCTGTTTGCAAACGGAGCCAAAGGAAGAAAGAGTAAGCGGTTTTGGCGACTTTAGTCTTCACCAACTCTCTCTTCTTGGGAATCACACTCCCTTCCTTCTTCTTGTAAGGCTTCATTTCCTGCTCGGAGCTCATCTTTCTTCAACCTTTAAGATTA